TCCGGTGCAATAAGGTTTGTCAGCTTGAGTTTGAGCTGGCAGGTTTGAAGTACAGTATCTCCTGTAGGGTCGTTCCGTTGGCGAGTTTTGACATCATCCTAGGGATGACTTGGATAAACCAATACGTCCAAGAAACCAATTGGGAAACAGGGACCTGGAGAATCAAAGACGATAAGGGTCGTCTCGCCAATTTCTACCCCGGTAGGTTAGCAGTGCCTTCCGAGGTGGTTCACGAACTTAGCGTCGTAACTGAGGGGCATAGTGAAATACAGGAACTGTCAAGGTCTGGGTTCCGCCGCTTTTGCCGACAGAAGGATGTCGATATCGTCGCATTGGAACCCATCGAGCGCATTGATCAAGTGAACGAGGTCGACGGTCCACGGGAAGAGATTCCTGCGGCACTACCAGAGGTAGCCACAAAGAACACCGAGCTGCAGGCCCGGGTGAAGAAGCTGATAGATCGATTCAAGGATCGATTTTCGGAGGTCAGCACGGCCCCAACCGTAGAACGTGTTGTCGATCACCTGATCGACACGGGCGACAAAGGTCCCGTCTCACAACCCGTGAGACGGATGTCGCCTCTACTTCTCGAGGAGCTGAAGAAGAAAGTGGCCGAGCTGTTGGATAAAGGGATGATAAGGCCATCCACCTCAGCTTGGTCGTCTCCCGTTTTGTTTGCTAGGAACGCCAGCGGAAAGCTTCGTTTCTGCGTCGACTATAGAGCAGTCAACGAACTCACGAAACGGGATAGGCATCCCCTACCGCTGGTTCAAGATTGTTTCGACCAGCTGGGAGGGGCTAGGTTTTATTCGAAGTTCGACCTGCAACAAGGTTTTCATCAAATGAAAATCGCGGAGCGGGACGTTGAAAAAACAGCCTTTGGGACGAGGTACGGCCATTACGAGTGGCTAGTTATGCCATTTGGCTTAGTTAACGCGCCTAGCACGTTCCAGAGAATGATGAACGACATCCTCAGGGAGTATCTAGATGACTTTGTTCAGGTATACCTGGACGACATCCTTGTATATTCAAAGACAGTGGAAGAGCACTTCGAACACATTACTAAGGTGTTCTTAGCACTCGAGAAGGCTGAACTGAAGATTAGTGGCAAGAAATCTCTGATGTTCGCCACCGAGATTCAGTTCGTAGGGCATGTTGTTTCTCACAATAAGGTGCGCATGATGCCCGAGAAGATCAAGGCTATTGAAGAATGGCCACGTCCGGGGAATGTTTACGATGTTCGTGCATTTCTTGGGCTGGCGGGCTATTACAGGAGGTTTATAAAAAATTTCGCCAAGATAGCCAGCCCGCTTCACAGTTTGACGGCAGGCACGACTACAAAGAAGCAGAAGGTACAGTGGCAAGCTGTACATGAGGTGTCATTTTGCAATCTTAAGCTGGCATTACAGGAGGCACCGGTGCTGGTCACGCCGGACCCGACGAAGCCATACGTGATAGAAACCGACGCCAGCGATCACGCGGTGGGAGCGGTCCTGTTACAGGCTGACGACTCGGGCGTGGAACACCCGGTTGCTTTTGAGTCCGGTAAGTTAAATCCGGCCCAACAGAACTACCCAGCACAAGAAAAGGAGTTGCTGGGTATCCTGCATGCCTGGAGGAAGTGGAGGGTTTATGTTGAAGGAGCGGTCAGTGACACTGTAGTAAGAACAGATCACGCGTCCTTAACTTACCTAAAAAGTCAGGTGCTGCCTTCCCGACGCTTACATCGGTGGTTGGAGGAATTCGCCGAAATGACGATTAAGGTCGAATATAAGAAGGGGTCCGCGAATGTCGTACCTGATGCGCTTAGTCGGCGTTCCGACCTCATGATAATTCATGAGGTTAAAGGCGAACTCAGAGACCCGTCGGATTGGCCGCTGTTGGTCCCGTACATCCTGGACCAGCGAGAAATCCCTGAGTGGGTGGACGCGCCAAGCCTCAGGACGGCTGTCTCGATGTTGCATAAGTTTGAGTACAGTAAGACGCGGGAGTCTTTGACCTGGAAAGAGGATGACTCACCGTTCATCCCGTTTGACTTTCGCCCAGATTTGCTTGAAGCCGTTCACCGACAATCTGGACATCGAGGCCGTGATGGAACACTGGCTTTCTTGAAGGGGAGGGGTTGGTGGCCGGGGAGGTATGGAGATGTCGAGGAATTCTGCAAATTCTGTCCCCAGTGTCAAATCTTCGACAGTCCAAAGAATGGCCTGGAGACAGGTGAGCAAATTCCTCTACCTCAAGTCCAGCCCTTTGAACGATGGGCAGCAGATTTTATTCAACTGCCCGAGTCGCGGGACGGGTACAAGTGGATTTTGACTATAATCGACCACTGTACGGGGTGGCCGATTGCAGTCCCGTTGAAAGAAGCAACGTCAGCGAATGTGGCTGAGGTTTTCCTGCGGGAAGTCTTCCAGCAATTCGGCGTACCATCAGAAATTTTGACAGATCGTGGACAAAATTTTTTGTCTAAGGACATGTTGAGGTTCTACAAAGCAGCACATGTGCGGAAACTGACGACTTCGGGTCATCATCCTCGCACTAATGGTAAGAATGAACGCCTGAATGGCATTCTGGAAAAGGCTTTATTTCGCTTGAACACGACGAATGACCCGTCTCGATGGCCGGAGTTTCTATCCCAGGCCGTCTTTGCGGTACGAGTGAATCAAAGTACGGTGACAGGATGGTCACCGTTCGAATTATTGTATGGCGTGAAGCCAAGGCTTCTCGCCGACAGAGCAAAGATCAGACCTCTTGAACTACAGGAGCAGGAGGCCAAACGCGAAGCACACGCGCTACGCGTTGCGAAGTTCAAAGAGGCTCGCGAGGCAGCTCGTAAGTTGCAAGAGGAACGAGCCCTGAAAAATAAGGCTCGTTTTGACAAAAGCCTTGCCGAAAAGGGAACGACCCAGTCTTATCTCATCGGTGAACGAGTTAAGCTCCGTAATGAGACTCGCACAAAAGGCCAGCCCAGTTGGCACGGGCCTTTCGAAGTCTTTGATGCGTTAGGTAATAACGTCTATACCCTGGTCGATCCAAAGGGGTCGATGTTCCCTCATCCGGTGAACGGGAATAGGTTGCAGCCGGCGAGGGCCAAGGATGCTGACGTCCTAACGCCTTGGGCGTTACCGTCGCGGTTGAAGCCTGCCGCTGAAACAGTGCAGCCTGTAGATAAAAAGGTGACTTCCGATGTCAAGGATCTGACTCGGGAACAGAAGCGCGCCGGGCGAAAGAAGGTAAAAGTTCCGAAAGCGCCCAGTGGAATGGTCGCTGGTCCAGAGGGGGATAGTTGTAGCAGGGATGCATAAGCATCCCTGTACAAGGTGCAGCAGTCCGAGTAATACTCGGACTGTATAAGCAGACATAAGAATACAGCGCTAAGTGCTGTATGCTGAGCTCACGTGCTGAAGAATATAGACTGGTACTGTAGCATAAGCAAGGGAGGCGATGAGGAATGCCATCCTCATCGCGCATGCTAAAAGGCAGTCTGTCACTAAACATCAAGGAACAGGAAGCGACGAGATCTAATTAGATCCCATCGCCAAAGTCATCACTCGCCTCTCAGCTCGAGTGATGCCTCAAGCAAGGAGAGACAATGGCTTACCAAGTCCCCATCTCAGCCGTGAGAAGGAACCCTCTTTTCTTTCTTCTCATTTTGAGACTCGGTTGTATTTCGTATAAATAGCGTCTCTCATTTCATTGCAATTCAAGCCAGTTCTGATTAGCTAGAATTACTCTCTTTTGGAATCCGTGCCTTCTGTCCCATTGCCTATTATCGTTCAGATTCATTATCCTACATCATAGTCAATTACTCCTAAGTCACATCCTCCAATTACCCTTTATATCCGAGAGGCTTTCTTATCTAAGTCACTTAACAAGTACCTTATCTAAACCATAGCTTCGGTCCTGTTACAGTTTCAAGATGAGCTGGACAAAGGATGCCTTCGCGATAAGTCGAGCAAGCTTCGGGAGTCAAGCAACATCTGACACACATAATCAAATCATTCGATCAATTCCATCACTCAGACTGAGATATGATATAAAAAGACATCAACTCGATACTTCCAAATAATAACAAACTCATTCATTCTGACTTGCAAAACTGCCCTCTTCTTTGCACATGTCTTACATATCGTATCCTTTCCTCATCCACCGATCCCCTCTTATCAGAAGGGCGAGATGAGTATGTAATTCAGGAGGCTATCCATCAAAATCGATGGGACTATATACCCACATCTCAACTGACATGGCATTTACGTTTCGTTCCTTGAGCCATTTCTTTGAGCGCCCATCTTCCTTCCCTGATCCTCATGTAATGCAGCCAGTACCGAGTCATGCGGGGATACATGAATTAGCTTGGGACATGGTACCGGGGTGCTCGGTAGAAGCATATCACAGCTCTGTATGACAAAGCGAGCCACAACTTGGCCATGCGCATTCCTGTCTCCTGACCGAGCCCCCTATAAAGTCAGCTCAGTCTCTCGAGATGGTTTTGTTCCCCATGGCGCTGCAGTCTCAGTCTCGTTCATTCGTGCTCTGTTGACATTCCTCGACCGATCGGGAGTTACTCCGGCCTCAAAGCCGCTTATGAGTTTCGCTTTTATTCTCATTACGGAATACCCTCAGTCGACAGTTGACCAATATCAAATTTACTTTTGAGTATAACTTTTTCTACCTCCTTCCCTGTGTTGTTTCTGGTCTCTTGTTTGCTGGTCGATTCCTAGATCTTTGATCTGGTTGAGTCTTCTCGGTACACTTCAGGTTGGGCTTCACCGCTTTAGAAAGGGGTTGGTGGAAGATGAGTTGTACTCGTTAGTCGGCTTATATTCTATGGCTCGTCATATGTTCCTCTGGTTCAATTAACGTTCAAGCAAAACCATAAGCCAAACATACCTGATTCTTTGTCACTTTTTGTAAGATGCCGCATCCAGCGGTTGTCGTATCCTTTTTACATCATTCCATGCAGGCTAAAATCAAGAATCAAAATAGCATTCCCATTGCAAGACACTTTGTCCGAGTGGTTAAGGAGACGCCCTGCTATGCCTGGAAGACTCACTTCCCTGCTGTCAGGCGTTGGGTTCTGCCCGCGCGAGTTCGAATCTCGTAGGTGTCGACGGTTTCACTTTTGCCGCAGACCTTTCACATTGCACGAATAGACAAACCTTATCAATTTCGCCTTATAAAGAGATAACTCTGTAGTCGGACTGGTATTTGTCAAATTATTCAATGTAACTGAAGTTTCTCGTCATTCAAGATAGGTTGCATTTGTTGTGTATATGCTTTGGTTTGATTCCAGTGGATTGATTACAGGCAATTACCCCTCTTCGAGCAGCTCTGAACCCAAGCTTGAATCCTATCATTATGTTAATTACATGCGGTGAGAAAGGCTTATGTAGTTATTTCTCGATGCTTAATGTCAAGGCATACTTGAACAGAGTTGATGACAAGCAAAGAGTTTCTCTTGCCCTAATTTTACTGGATCAAGATTGGTATTTGGCTTTGAATTGATAGAGGTCAGGCGAGTCTCATGGGAATGAAATCTAATCTCAAAGTATGTACTTGATTTCGAAGTGAGCTATGTAATTATGTTCAAGTTGCATAGATCACTCAGGACGGAGAAGCAAAAGGCGAGAGGAATATGAGAAGGATAGTATTGTCATTGTGCACACAACTTGGCCTGAGATTTACTCCGGGGGAGGCATGTTAGTCTTTGGGTTATAGAAGAGCGGCTGTATTGGAAGAAGAAGGTATTTGTATCAATTCTCTACTCTTTGATATTGGTCACTAGATTAAAGCCTTACGTAATTGCCCCATGGGAAGCTCTTGACACGGCGATTGAGGTAGTCATATTGGATTCGCTCGGGAAGTTCGCCTCCATTCTCCTCCTTGATGTGTTCGCTGTAGTATCGCACCACAGAACAGGGTGTCAGGATGATCAGAGTGATCTTGGAGTTACTCAAAGAAATAGCAAAGCCATTAGAATGACTGGAAGCGAGGCGGTACATACAGGTGCGCTTCATGCTCGTTAGCAAGTTTTTGGGCGTTGAAAAGAGCAAGAACGACCGCGGGAAATCCGACGTAGTAGCTAGGTTGCCAGCCAACAATACACCGGAACGAGATCATTGGATCAGATTAAATCGATAGGTATATTGAGAGATGCTTCAAGTTGGACGTAGTAGCGATAAGACACATACGTGATTTTTCGCCAGAGATCTGTGGATCCAGATGCATGTTTTTTGACAGCATCTCGTTCCTTGAGGAAAGCCTCTCCTAAGGCACCGTCTCCGACGCTTCATTAGATTGAATCAAGTTACAATGATGAGGAAGGGTGAAAACAGAAACATCGAGATGTGTCACTATCTTGGTTTCCGAACATTCAGATCGACTGTGTTGGGAGAGAAGGAGGAAAGCGTTTTACTTGGCATAAGTTCTTTGTCCAAGGACCTTCTTGGTAGCTAGACCGCGAATGACAGTTCGAGAGGCTGAGACGATCATGTTTGGTTCAGATCGAGTTGCTTAGGGGATGTGATGAGTGGTCGACAATTGTTGGTTCGGTGGGTTGGTTGCTTTGAATGTGTGGTGAGTTGAAGAAGTCCGTTCATGACTCGTACATGTGGACAGGAGAGAGTCGGAATACTACTCATGTGACATGTCTGACTACGGCCTGATAACAAACATATCACGTAGCATATGCTTGTCGAGGTTTCATGGGCACCTGTACAGAGCTGCACACCCTCTAGACACCCCTTTGACAGCTACAGTCTAGCATGTAAGTCCCGTGACATCTCGGACCTGTGTATGGTCACTATGTACAAGTAGCATCAGAAAGTATACGTCACCCCCTGGCCCCGACTAGTTTACTAACCGGAGTAAAGGGAGTGTACTGCGTAATGTGCAACTTGACTTTTGAAGGCACCATGTAGTCTGGATTTGAGTTGATAGCTCTTGATTCTTTCTTTTTACATGGTTGACCTCTCTCAGGTCTCAGCATTGCAATGAAAATTGATAAAAACATGCTATAATCATACACATACAACGAGAAAAAGACAGAGGTGAAAAAACTTGGATAAGGGAAAGTTTAGTAGGCTCGATCTCAGTTGAATGAGCAAGAGGTCATGATAAAACATCATTTCAAAACCAATCCATCCTTTGAATTAGAAGCCGGATCAATAAAAGTAGCAGCATATACCAAAACTGAAGTCAAACACATCAAGTCTGAGCAGTGAACGTCACTGACTATACATAGATACACTCCCTTTACTCCGGTTAGTAAACTAGTCAGGGCCAGGGGGTGACGTATACTTTCTGATGCTACTTGTACAAGACTTGCTTTTGCCGTATGGTTTTATGAACGTGACTCGTGATCCCATTGAAGTGCAGGTCATGCTCGGAAAATGATTGTAAGTACATATAATGTAATCTTAATGGGGTGACACTCGCAAAGGCTGGCAAGCATGTCCAATGTAAATTTAAAGGAAATGTCAGAATCACCTCACGTCGTGATGCTAGATCAGCAATTTGCCAAGGAATCGAAGCTTGAATCGCCCAGTTCGCATCGACAACATAAACCAGCACTTGCCAGTGTGTGTGAGGGTACGATAAGGCTGAAGGGTGCTTTAGGATGATAGTCATGACTAGTCCAGATTCCGTGTCTATCTCGTTGCAATGAGATTTAAATTTGCCCTCAAGGATCTCATGAAAGCTTCGTACAGAGATGGAAGTAGGAATACATGATGTTTGTACAGTTAAGAATGAGACTCCTCGAGTTCTTCTCTTGTCGCTTTCGATTTTGGTCTCATGTGGGACTCTCAACTCGAAACATGAGCTGAATTTCCAACATCTCGACAAAACTTTTGCTCAGCTCTTTGGGCGAACTTGGGTTAGCTTCTTTCATTCGACGACTCGCGTACTCATCTTCATTCATTCCCTAGCTCAATCAGCAAATGTCACATCCCGCCTATCGTCTGACAGCTGGCGAAGGCTTCGTGGCCGGTGGACTCGGTGCTGGTGTTGCGATCACGGTGGGTGCAACTTCTTCGATGTTTATTGTCTGTTGTGTGGAGTCAGACTTTTGGCCGCAGCTGATGACTGCCGACAATACGTGATGAAATCTGACTTTGTGCGACCGGTTTTTGTGATGTGGAATTGCCGGACCATACAGTTCATGAATCCAATCGAGGTAGCAGAAAGACGACTTCAAACGACTAGCCATCAGGCTGGACAGTCTGTTAAGCGATACCGCACACCATTCGATGTCCTCAAAGACACCGTACAATCGGAGGGTTGGAGAAGCTGTCAGCGTGGGCTGTGTGCTGCTGTGAGCTCAGTTCTCTTCATCGATTACATATAATCAGCCTTCAAAGACTGGTACAACGCGTTTGGGGCTAAGAGCAAAACTTCTCTCTTTTCCTCGACTGGTTCTTTGCTGATAAAATCGCTCGGTCCTAATTCCCCAAGTATGCCTATCAATTCGCCCTGAACGGCTCTCGTCTAGGTACGTGAATTATTTCTCTCTTAACTCGCTGCCTGGTTTTACAGATCTTGGATAACGCGCCTTATACAATTACAAGTGTTGCACCGTGAAGCTGAGCCTTCAACTTTACTCTTTGGATGATCCGGTTTGAAATACAGGGTTTTACGAACCTATCCGGAGGAATGTCAACACACTGTTCGGGTATGATCCCTCGAATGTAAAAATGTGGATCTGTGTGTCTTCTGGCGGCCTATCTGGCCTCATTGGCGCAACTCTTGCACATCCTATACTCCTCGTCAAAAACCGTATTCAAGCCAGTTCACCAAGTTCGGGGGAGATTTCTACTTTGATCAAGAAACCAAAATACCCAAGCCAGCCCGTTTCCCGGTCTTTACTTGAAGAGCTCGTCCAGATAACACGACAAGATGGAGTGAAAGCATGGACGCGAGGTGTTGATAAGACAATGTTGAGGACAGCGATGGGAAGCTCGGTACAATTACCGACGTACAATTATACCAAAATGGTCCTGCGCCGTCATTTTGAATCAGATCCCATATGGCTTTACGTTGCTTCGAGCTCATGTAGCGCACTGTGTGGACTGCTGGTGCTCCAACCGCTAGGTAGGTTGAAATTCTACATCTGATTCACTGCCCTTCCAAGTCAAATTTCATGAAAAGAGTCAAAGATTAAAAAATTGTTGCCTGATCTATTCAAAACTCAGACATCATCATAGGCCGAATGCACAATGAGTCAACAAATCGGAAGACTCTTGGGACATCATTGAGTTCCTTTTGGAAGATGGTCAAGAGCGGAGGAATCTCGGGGCTGTATGTGCTTTTATCCCTTCATTCCTTATTTCTTGCAATTACTCTCTATCAGTTGGTTCTACTAGCTTGACATTGAGCTGGGAAACAAAGGTGCTCATGAAAGTTGTTGATATGTCTCAAAACACCAGGTACAATGGATCGACGGCTCATTTCTTAAAACTCGCACCGGTAAGTGGTCAGTTTTGTAAAACGATCTTGAAATAAACGAGACAAGTGAACTGCTGGATCATCAGCTCACGAGGTAGAGATTCTCTGACTTTCATATTTAGCATACTATCATTACTTTGGCAGCATATGAGGCGATAGGACAATGGTGTAGGTGTTATTCTGTGCTGCAACAAAATCTTTGATGTCGTTTCTTTTCTCTTGACTGACTCGCTCGAGTATCTTCCATGGTGCTACATTTTTTTGCAGGGATAAAGCAAAGGCTTGCAACAACAAAGGGATTGGATCAGTAGGACTGCGGTCACATCATCTTTCTTAAATATTTTTTTTGCGCATAAAACAACGATTGCATCTATAGTAGCTTAGATTTTATGATGATGCATACTGTATGATACCGCCTTCATTATATTTAAGCAACCCCTTGATAGAGATGAGATTGAGTCAATTATTAATGGATGATCATTATTGTGTAGATTTTTACATACGAGCTATGCAATCATGTGAGTCAATACGTACTTCTATCACAGTCACCATGAACCTTCCGAGGAAGGACAGGGTGAAATTGAGCCGTAAGATTGATTCATTGAAGTGAATGTGTACCCGTCATTTGAGGCTCAAATTGAGTTTGATGTTTGACTCAAACTTTAC